AAACAAAACACCCAAAAAACAGAAAGCTTCTAAACAGGCTCACCTATTTTGAATTCAGAAATTCTATAACTATTGCTAATCCTGACTTTACAAGTAGACAAAGAGACTGAGTAAAGGACTTGAAACAATTCAACTTCAGAGGAATATAAAATCCAGTAAGGTTTATTTTAATGGCAATTTGAGGCAGAAATATAGGAAGCATGGGAACATAGGTGGATTTCATAAAACAAAGGGATTATGACAAAAAAATGTTCACTAAGTTCTCAGCTAAATTAATATCAAGATGTCAAAGGACACAAAATGCACTTTTGCAATTCTAAAGGAGTAAACAAACAACTTTATGATTGGAGAAAAAGGTACAAGGTAAGCATAGTCTTAGAAAATGCTTTAAAAACAAAACAATGTAACCTGATTCCTTCCTTCTCTTCTCCATTACTCATAGAATATAGGTTTCCAGTAGTTATGATGGGATCCTAATTATTCCTAATCAGAAAAGCAAGGAACAGGGAATTTTAAAAAGTCAGACTTCTATAGCCTGCTATCCTAGCATAATTTTTTTAAATCAAGTTTGCTCTTAGGTTTACTACATTCAGGGATTCAAGCATCCACCACAATGTTCCTTTCTTATCTATTTACTAACAATTTCTTTAATATCCAGCATATACAGTGAGTGATATCAGAAGAGGTAAGTGGATGCCTACAGGAGGGAGCTCATTAAATGAGAGAGTAAAGAAAGAGAACACAAAAAATACCAAAAACACAGTTATTTTATGCTTTTGCCTAACAGGCATGTTTTGTCCACCTTCAAATATATCCAGACAAGTATTAACAGCAATAGCCAGAACTGCAGAAGCACATAGTACCTTAGTGGAACTTACATTTATTAAGAGTATGATGTAATCCACCCCAGTTTGCCTGGTACATAAAAATGTGTTTTAACACAGAGGGCCTCATTATAAAAGGAGAGCCTATCCCAGAATACTGCTTGGTCGATACATTATTATAATTACACAGCTTAACTAAGATCATCAATGAGATTTTAAAAACAATACAATTTTAATTGTAACCTGATTGTAAGATGCTCCCTTCTACAGATGCACAGCACAGAAACAGTTAATACCATACCCAGTTACAATGCATTTTTCATTGTATTATACCATATGGTCATACTGTCCCATCTTATACCATATGGTCATAGAAAGTAGTATCAGGGGAATATAAGTGGTCAGAAGTAAATGTTTAATGCCAAAAGTATAAGCACATTCATTGGATAAATATTTAATAAGTATCTGTCACTTACCAAAATATTCTATTTTGAGCATCTACAAATACTTACAAATATAGGACATGCAATTTGTTCAGTTCCCAACATAATTTTATGTTTAAGATGTTTGATAACAAGAGTAAAAGAAGTAGAAACAACCTAACGTCAAGAAATATGTATAGTTTAAAAATTGCAGTATATCTAATGATAGGTAAAATATTTTGCTATATAGTTAAGTTAAAAAAATTACAAAACCGCCGAAACCGATTTGGCTCAGTGGTAGAGCGTCGGTCTGCGGACTGAAAGGTCCCAGGTTCGATTCCGGTCAGGGGCATGTACATTGGTTGCGGGCACATCCCCAGTAGGGGGTGTGCAAAAGGCAGCTGGTCGGTGTTTCTCTCATCGACGTTTCTAGCTCTCTCTCTCTCTCCCTTCCTCTCTGTAAAAAATCAATAAAAATATATTTTTTTAAAAAATTACAAAACCACATACATTGTATTGTATTATCTATAACAATAAAAACAAAATATGCTAATTAGACCAGACAGCTGAACAATCTTCTGGACAAAGCTGGGGCTGCCACCATGACTGCGAAGGCCAAGGGCAGTTTTCACACTGCAAGGGCTGAGCCCCTTGCACAAATTTCGTGCATCGGGCCTCTAGTAAAAACATAAGAACAGTATATAGATATACGTACATTAAAATGTTTATATAATTATATCTTAGTGGCAAGATAACAGATGATTATGTTTACTTTTTGTACTTAGAGCTTTCTAATTTTTCAATAATGAATGTGCTTTCTCTCCATAATTAGAAATGTTTTAGTGCAGCTAAAATTTGTGAGAAACATTATTTTAAAAACATATTTCACTGTCAGGTAAGGTAAATCTTTAGAATAAAGCATGTAATTTTACGGCAAGCACAATTTTTCATTTATTTCCATGCATGTGGCAATTAGAAGATCTCCTTAAGTGAATATAAAGAAGACAGTTCAAAAGACAATAGTACATTTCAGCTTCCGCTGAATTAATACCAACTTCAAATTTAAAATTAGTGCTTGGAAAAATTTATTCTACCACCATGACAATGAAATTTATATTTAAAAAAGACCAATTTTTAATAACTTATACCTCCCCCAGTCAAATACATTTATTATCGGCTCCTATAAAAAGTATAAAGGAAAAACTACTATTCATTACTAAACATTAAAACCTGGGTGAAGGAGGCAGAGGGAAACACTTTTAACTAAAATTAGTTATTCTACTTATTTATGCATTCATTGGTTGTGCCCTGACCGGGGATCAAACCCAAATGTTGGCACATCTGGATGATGCTCTAACGAAATGAGCTACCTGGTCAGGGCCACAAATTAAAATTTGTTCATGTATCCTTAAGATTTCAGGAGATATGAATATGCTTTCCAATTATTGGCAATTTAAACTTAAATCCAACTGGCCTATAGGTACTCAAGCATTGATTCAGGAGAATTGTTTAGGAAGTGTGCAAATGCAGAAACTTATGCCCCAGCTTTCACCTAATTAGAATCTTCAGAGGGTAGAGTTCAAACAATCTGGCCCTTTCAAATAAGATAACAGAGATTCTACTTTACAAATGCCTTCTCTATATCATTGCAAACTGTTCTAATAACTCTGACACAAAATTCTCAGTAAACAATATTATAATCAGAAAGTTACAATTTCATGAGCCATACACACTAATTTATCTATTCTTCTAGATACAATTTAACAAAACCATATGCCATCTATAGAGTAAAGCAAGCCTAGAGGCACCTGTGCCTGGTAAGACAAAGGCATATCCGATTCATGGAAAAAATAGACAGCAGATGTGACCCCTAGTATTTATCCATTAAAAACAATGTATTCTAAAAATAAATTTCCATGTCAACGGAACAAAGCTGTTTATAAATAAGAAGGAATGTGGAGGTGAGGGGAAGACAAGAGGAAGCTTCAGCAAGTTAAGTACCAAAAGCCAGGAAACAAGGCAAAATGAATGGCAATTGGGGACAAGGAAAACAGAATCAACTAGTAAATGGAAGAAGGGAAGAGTTCTATCCTTAGACTCCAAGAGGAAACCAAGCTGAGCAAAAATGCAAACTGTAAAGTGGAAAAATGGTGTAAGAAAGAAGAGAGAAGAAAATTTAGACTAGATCAAAAGATGGTACAGAACACATCATGGGCATATACGGAGATGGTCTTAAGAGGATGAAAAACAAAATATTTTGAACAAATCAATACTAATTAGAACAAACACAGCAAATGAATTTACAAAGTAAATATGATGAAGCAGGAAAAAGAACTGCATAGATAGAAGAATGAAACGTTGTGAGAATTGGGAAACAAAATGTAACTAGCAGGAAGGAAGGAGAACTTTGAGCACAGTCAACGGTGTAAGTCATGCTACATGCTATCTAATCAAGAATTGCAAAGCGCAGTTGTTATACCATATATTATCTCATTATTTATAAAGTATAATGAAGTGTGTTATTTTATGTAATAAAATGCCAAATAAGAAATATGATAAACTTTATGTAATAAAAAAACACAATGTAAATAAACTCATTGGACAAGGTGATAAGAAGCTGAATAATGCAAAAAAGAAAAAGAAAAACAGGCTGAGAGAAGCAACGGCTAAAAAGCAAAAAGTGGAAGAAAAGAAGAAGAAAAAAAAAACTGGGACAGAAAGAACAACAGAAGGAAGGCAATCAAACCTATTATTTTTAAAAACCGGTAGGAATCAATAGAGAGGTGTGAATGGACAATGGAAGAACCACCACAAAGTGCCGGGAGTGCAAGTGAAACCTGATGGAATCTTGACAGCTCCAGGATCCTGAAAGTAATCTAACAATAGGTAACAAAGTCGGGGAGCTGTGGAGTGTAGTCGAGGCCCTCAAAGAGGACTGGGGGCAAAAGAGCAAAAAAAGTGGAGCTGAGGCCAGAAGGCAGGCGAGGCGGGCCGGCAGATGGGGATGGGATGGGATGGGGATGGGATGCGGGAGCACCGATCCACATTCGGAACGCAGGGTGTCCTGGGGCCGGGAGGAAAGGGAGAGTGGGAAGCAGGATTGAGGTCTGAAAAAAGTACAGAGTAAAGCAAAACCCAGGCGCTGGGTAAAACAGGTGAAGAGACACCCCCCCCCCAAAAAAAAAAAAAAAAAAAAAAGTAAGAGAAGTAGAAGGGAGCACGGCGGCCTGAAAAGGGGGACGGACGGCCAGGGAGAGCAGAGAGGGAAGGATGCGCCCCATCATCCCCAGGACCATGTCATCAGTACAGACACCACGGCAACGGGGGCCGGACACCCGGCCCGGCTCCCGGACCACATCTCCCCCCGGGATGCCGCCGCCTCCCGCCCGGAGTAACGAAAACATCGCAGAGATGCAAGCCTGGCCACCTCCAGCCGGCCGTGACCTAGGACCAACCAACCCTGGGACTCGCCCCCTACGGATCGCCGCCGGCTCCGCCGCCGCCTGAGGAACCCCCCCGCGCGGGGGTGCGGGCCGGGGAAGCCCTGGGCCAGGATGTGTGTTTACGTAGCGGGGAGCTGAGTGACGGAGAGGGACCGGGGGAGGGGGGGGGCACCCACCTCCCATCCGCAGAGCACCCGGGAGCGGCTGGCTGAGGGCACCCGAGCCCCCAGCACCCCCTCTTCCCCCCCAAACACACACCCGCCGGCCGAGCCGAGACGCGAAGGGTGCAGGGGGGCGCCGCCGGCACTCACCTCCTCGGGGATGGCGGGGTCCGCAGCCGAAGAGGCCGCGGCGCCGGCGCCGGCCTCGGGCTCCATGTCCCCGTTGAACAGAGCCTGGCCCTGCTCCGCGCCGCCGTCGCCGCCGCTCAGCGCCGCCGCCATCTTATAACCGAGAGCCGGGGCTCGAGCGGCCGCTGCTGGGCGGGGAGGGGGAGGGAGGCGGAGGGCGGGGGGGGGAGGCGGAGGCGGAGGCGGGGGGCGGCGGGGGCGACGGCCGGGCGGCGCCGGCGGCGGCGGGAGGGCGCTGGGCCACCTCAGGAACCGGCCCGCGGCTCCCGACGCAGCCGAGCCGGAGGGGATTGGAGGGGGGGCGGGGGAAGGGGGCGGAGACCACTAGAAGTCGCCGCGGCGGTGGCGTCACTCGTACGTCACGGCCGTTACGTCATCCCGGGTGCGTGACGTAACCCCGGGAGCGCCCTCGCGCCCCCGCCTGGGGAGGCTTCCTTCGCGTCCCGCGGCGGCGGCGGTGGCTGCGCTCAGCGGTTTCTCTCCTTCCGCTGCCGTTTCCATGGCTTCGGTTTCCCCGATCGATTCTCTCCTCTTCTCGGTCCTAAGCCGGTGCCGTAGCGGAGGGCTCCCCAGCCGAGCTGGAGGAGAAGTTGAAATCCTAGAGGGAGGAGGATTCGGGGAAGCCCACACTGCTGTTATTTCCTGTGCCACGAACGTCTCTGGCACAAAAATTAAGACGTGAAACCCCGAGGTTGAAACTAGCGGCCGGGTAGCATTGGATGGAAACGTATTGAGGCACAACAGCCAACTTGTCAGGGGGATGGCGTGTACCCTCTTCGTGAAAGGATTTGGCCTGTTGAAGTGAAGCTAGATGGGAGTCTGAAAGGTGTTTGGCTCGTCGTTTCCATCGCTGGGGAATAAAATGTTTCCTCCTAGAATGTTTTTCCGTTTCCCAGGTTCACTCACTGAACAAATGCCGGCGATGGAGCGCTTTTTCCAAGGGATAGGGCTTTGCTCAAGGCACAGAATATTCTAGACATCTGAAACATCAACACTTTGATCATGTTTATGTTGAGGAAAACCGTTCAAAATATGTTAAATACCGTCGTGCTTTTCTATTTTTTTTCTTTTATTTATTTATTTATTTATTTATTTATTATTATTTTTTTTATAGCAGAACATTCCAAGGCATTCTCTGTGGGGAAAAAAAATGCACATGGAAACTTATTAAGGAAGAAGTAAATTCCTTGGGAGAGGCTCAATGACAGAATGGAATTAAGGAAACCCAGCTCGTTATTAAAAATACATATATTCTTAAAGGAAAGGAGGACTATTCAGGGAGGAGAAAAAAATTTAAGGAAGGGAGAAATAGTAGTGACAAACAGTAGTGACAAACAGTGGAAGTTACTGTAGCTCCTGATGGTGGAAGTTAATCGCTAAAGGAACTTAAACCTCAAGACATGAGAAGCCCTGAGTGGACTCTGCACTTTTGTGCTTCCCATGAATGGGGAGGTCACCAATGACCTCATCGGATTCAGGATGATTCAAGTGATAGAAAGCTGTCCTACTGACCCCTGAAGCAGGAGGTCTGCATATTGATAGTCAACATGAGCCTGGGAGCTGACCCTTACTCCCAAGGTAAGAAGTTTGCCAGGCTGCTAGGTTAATCAAAATACTCAATATTGAAATTTACAAAAAAAAAAAAACCTACTGAATGAACATGGTATGCTTTATTAATATCATTGTATTTTCAAGTAGGGAAGTCGCCTAGAGGAACTAAATTTAAATAAAAAAGTGACTTGGGCTGAAACCGGTTTGGCTCAGTGGTAGAGCGTTGGTCTGCGGACTGAGGGGTCCAGAGTTCGATTCTGGTCAGGGGCATGTACGTTGGTTGCGGGCACATCCCCTGTAGGGGGTGTGCAAGAGGCAGCTGGTCGATGTTTCTCTCTCATCGACGTTTCTAGCTCTCTATCTCTCTCCCTTCCTCTCTGTAAAAATCAATTATATATATATATATACAAAAAACAAAAAAGTGGCTTGGAAAAGTAGAATAAATGAAGATGATAATAAGGGATAATGTCATCAAGCTGTAGTCTGAAGTGCCCTCTTTATTATAAGGATGTATTTCTAAGAAGACTAAAATAGCACAGTCAGCCAGTTTGATTTCATCTGACACAAAACTGGCAGGTTTTTAAATTCTCTAACAGACTTATTTCATTTCTAAAAGCCAGCCTCTGAAAATATTACATCATTAAAACATTGTTTCAAAGGGTTAAAAGTTTTAAGATTATTTTTTCATTTACTCCATTTTAAATTACAGTCTTCCTTACTAGAAACAATCTGTAAATTTTATTAAACATGGTTATTTCTTCATAGAATGGCTGAGATCACCCATTTAATATTGCTTCTTGTTAGCTTCCATTTATTCAACATTTTTCTGAAGTTGTCTTCAAATTTTGGATATATTTTATTTGATTTTCCTAGGCCATTCTAATGCCCCACAATATCCAAATGGGAAAATATAAAGAAAGGATAAACTTTGGAGTCCAAAGATCAGGATTTTAGTGTCAGCATGCCACATTTTGGCTGTACAACCTTGAGCAGGTAAGCTCGAATCACTATTTTTGTTGTTTTATTCATTTATTTTTAAAATTTATCTTTATTATTGAAAGTATTACAGATGTCCCCTTTTTTTCCCTATTGACCCCTTCTAGTCGTCACTCACCCCCGGCCCCATGCCTTCACCACACTATTGTCTGTGTCCATGGGTTATGTATATAAGTTCTTTGGTTAATCTCTTCGCATCCACCCACCTACCCCTGCCTTCCCTCTGAGATTCGGCAGTCTGTTCCATGATTTCATGTCTCTGGATCTATTTTACTCATCGGTTTACTTTGTTCATTATATTCTATATATGAGTCAGATCATGTGATACTTTCTCTGACTGACTTATTTTGCTTAACATTATACTCTCCAAGTATTGTTTTAATCTATAAAATGAGAGTGATAGTAATGACAGGCCAACCTATCTACCTATCATTATGAGGATAAAATATTATAGTTTTGCCCTTTATGAAATATAAAGTTACCATCTCAATCAGAATCCAGACAAGGCTTTTCTCTACTCCATGACGTCTGGGAGCTCATATGGAGTGGTGAGCCTGGGGGATGTTTCTAAGGGTTGCGATGGCAATTATCCGGAGGCATATTTCCTCATATGTTTGGTGGTTGAAACTGGGACTTCACCTGGGGCAGTCAGCCAGAATACCTAAGCATACTCTCTTCATGTGGCATGTTTGCCTCAGGGTAGTCAGACCTCTTGCAAGGTAGCCAAGAGCTCCAAATGTTAATGTTCCTGTAACCAAGGTGAGAGCTGTAATACATTATATGACCCAGCTTCCAAAGTCACACAGCATCTCTTCTGCTGCTTTTTATTGGATACAGGTAAGTTACCAAGTCCAGCCCAAATTCAAGAAGAGAGGATTTAAATCTTATCTCTCAATGGAAGAAGTGCCAAAGAATTTACACATATGTTTAATTTACAGACAGATCGTGTTTACAGTAATGAACTGGCTACCCTATAGAAATGGCTGCTTATGTCACCTTCTCCAGAAGGGATTCTGTATTCAAATTCTCCCTCTTATTGCTGGAAATCACCAAGACATGTCAGAATGCGAATGAAGAAGCCCTTACCTTCTTTCGTTATCTTCTGAAACCCCACTGCATGCAGAAATAAATGCAGGTCCTACACCATGGGACATACCCTAAATGTCTCCTCTTTGGCACTTCCATCGAGATCACAATGCTGCCACAGACAAAGTTTAGGTGCTGCAGTCCTCTACAAAAAGCAGTGGCACTGTTGTTCTTGATGCCAAGCTAGTTTGTCTCCTGAGCAGAATGAGAAAGCACACCTCCCTTTGTGTTGTAGTGTGTCATATGGGCACCAATGCAGTATTATCTTGCATTCTAAAGTCATAACATGCATTTTAGTCACCGTTCTTCTGGGTTTGCTCACAATCCCTTTCCCCCCAAGGCATTCACAGGAAGCTAGAAAACAAATCTAGGTGAGAAGCACTGTTTGGAATGTTGCTCCAGCTGATAACTGAGATACTAAGGAGTCTTGCTGAGATGTCTGACCCTCTCTTCCCTGGAGATGAGTTTATTTCTAATTGGCAGGCATTTCTATCTTTAATCCTGTGTTCTAGTAGACACGGAATAGTTCTACCCGTCAGCCAGACCTACCCAGCTCCAACCACATTCAGTGATATATAGCTAATAACAGCTTAATATTTTATGTATGAATCAAGGTCATCACTTCAAATACCACATCCTGTATTATTTAATAGATGGCTACTCTCAAAAGCTATTAAGGTGTGAATAGAAAATTGAATCATGAAGTTGATTCAGCACAACCTTCCTAGTGAGAGGTACTAGGAATCTCTTCTGTGGAATTCCAGACTCCATCTTAATTCTTTAGTGATGGGGACTTCACTAATACCGTGCATTGAAGCATAATTATTTTTTCTGAAGTTGAATTGAAACCCTCTTCTTATGATATCCATATTCTGGTCTGAGTTTTGCCTTCTAGAGGAGGACAGGATGAGCTTATTCTATGTAATTGCTTTCAAACGCTTGAAGGAAGTTCTGTTTCCTTTAGTTCTCTCTTCAAAGCATTTTCTCTTATTTCTGTGTACTCTTTTCAATGTTCCTCTTAAAATGTGGACCCATGAATTGAACACTATTCCAGATCTGGTCCAACCAGCAGAGAATAGAATCTCTTATTGCTATAACCTAGGAACTGTGCTTTTGTTAATATAATAAAAAAAAAACATATAAGCAACTCCACCTGATATTGGTACATATGAAATCTGCAGTCAACAAAAACCATTGTGGTTTTTAAAAATAAAATCCTATTACACCAAGCCTAGGTTTTTAGGTTTGTTTTTTTTTTTAGCATTGTTGTTATCTTTTCTACTGAACTCACATTTCCCATACGTTTTAATTCTTAAAGGAAGACCTTGCTTTTAGGTTCATGAAATGTGTTAGATATATTTCTAACATTTACCAAAAGATACTTGTATCAGTATGTGATTTCATTTTATAAAATCTTGCTTATACCACCTTGGGATGTGTTAAGATACAGAATTCTTTGA